TCCGATGGGCTCACTGCGTGAGGTGGCCCCTGGTTGTCTGAACCTTATTCTAGGGTGTCGTGGCGATTAAATAAATAAAATACAATAAATGAAATTGTACGTCGGTCGCGGTCATCTGTTCCTTTCGACGTTCCGTCCAGTGCTCGTTGCACCTGGAATATAAATAAAAGTCTTTAATACCACGAAAACGTTGCGTAAAAATGGGAATTATTTATATATAAACGTGTCGAAAAAGAAAAATTTACGCTTATCTTCGCCGTTTTTTTAGTTTTTATTACATGGTAAATAAAAATTGATATAAAAAGGCAAAGTGTACGAGGGTTTGTGCCGGTAAATAAGAAAAATAGTGCCTCGAAAAAAATGGTTGGCACACACATAGCTAAGTTGAATATGACTTCAGGTACTCTGGGAACCTGACGGTTCGACCTGATCGTGTTTTTTGTTGCGCCGCTGGTTGTTGCAGCTGTGCATTACCAGGCACATCGTCGAGAATTTCGATAATTGAGTCATCCGTCGGCCGGATGTAGCGAGCTGAAACGTCACTTACAATGGGGTTGCCTTCGAAATAAGCTGGTTTCAAACGGTCGATACTGACAGTATCTTCGCGTCCGCCTCGCTCAATTACATAGAATTTCTCATGTCGCTTAATCACTTTGAACGGCCCGTCGTAGGGTGGTTCAAGTGGTCGACGAACAGCGTCGTGGCGAACAAACACGTGTGATGTCTTCTGTAAACTGGGGTGGACGAAAACATCAGTCGTTTGCGGTCTAATCGGAGAAGGCCTAACTGAACGCATTGCGTTTGTAAGCCTAGTCACATAAGATGCCCTATCGGAAACATGTTTGAAAGTTGAAGGGGAAACAAACTCACCTGGTAGGCGAAGAGTGGTCCCATAGACGAGTTCTGCAGGAGTGCATCCAGCATCAACTTTCAACGCGTTACGAATACCTAGTAGGACTAGAGGCAGAGCCTCGGTCCACTGAGGTATGTTTGTAGCTGAAAGGGAAGCTTTCAGCTGTCGATGGAAACGCTCTACCATGCCATTTGCTTGTGGATGGTAGGCTGTCGTTCGGAACCGAGTGCAACCTAAAAGTGCCGTTAGAGCGTGAAATAGTCCGCACTCAAATTGGCGCCCACGGTCGGTTGTGACGTAGGATGGACATCCGAAGTTCGCGATCCATCTTTCGACGAAAACACGAGCAACTGTTTCGGCAGTAATATCTTTAATGGGTACTGCTTCCGGCCATCGTGTGAAACGATCAACACAGGTGAAAAGGTAGGTACATCCATTAGATTCTGGTAGGGGTCCTACAATATCTATATGGACGTGGTCGAAACGCATGTCTGGGGCTAGAAATGAGCCTAAAGGGCTTTTCGTGTGTCGCGTGACTTTACACTTTTGACAAGCTAAGCACGACTGGGCCCACTCCTTAACGTCTTTGTTCATCCCAGGCCAGCAGAAACGTTGTGCGATAAGCCTAATGGTGGCTCGTACACCTGGATGAGAGAGTTTGTGCAACGTATTGAAGACGTTGCGTCGACAACTCTTCGGAACTATTGGGCGTGGTTGACTAGCAGAGACATCGCACAAAATTGCATCCTTGTCTGATCCAACAGGACAAAGTCGCAGTTTGAGAGTTGTGGACGACAACTCATGATGCAGCTCAAGGTCTTCCTTTTGACGCCGAGCTAGTTCAACGAGATCAATACCCTCGATATAGTTTATCGAAGCTATTCGAGATAGTGCGTCGGCTGCGGAGTTGTTTGCTCCAGAAATGTGGCGGATGTCTGACGTGAACTGGGAAATGTAATCCAGCTGTCGCGACTCACGAGGGGAGTATTTGTCAGACGCCGAGCTGAGGGAAAAGGTAAACGGTTTGTGGTCTGTGAAAATAATGAAATCACGACCTTCCACAGAATGTCGAAAATGGCGTACAGAACAGTACATGGCTAGGAGTTCCCTACCAAATGTACTGTATCTTGTTTCCGCGTCTTGCAGCCGCCTCGAGAAAAAGGCTAACGGTTGCCACTGGTTGTCAGTCAACTGTTGCAAAACTGCTCCAATTGCTGAATCAGATGCATCAACAGCAATACTCAGAGGAGCATTGGGGTCATGATGCATAAGCATGGTTGCGTTCGAAATGGCTTCCTTGACTTTGGAGAAAGCAAGTCTAGCCGCGTTGTCCAGAGACACGAACTTCGCAGTTCCTCGAAGTAGATCTGTGAGTGGTCTCATGACAGAGGCACAGTTAGGGATAAACCTTCGGTAATAACTTACCAGGCCATTGAAAGTGCGGAGATGTTTCACAGTGGTCGGCTCTGGATAGTTTGTGATAGCCGCCACTTTATCTCTCAATGGGCGTATACCTTTGTTGTCAATGGTATGCCCAAGGAAGCTGAGTGATTCAACTCCTATTTCACACTTCTGTAAGTTAACTGTGATGCCATGTTTTTTGAGTCTTTCGAATGCGAGGTCCAAATGTTTAAGGTGTGTTTCCTTATCTGGACTCGCAATTAGACAGTCATCTATGTAGACATGAACAAAATTCAGACCACGGAAGACGTCGTCCATAAAGCGTTGGAATGTTTGTGCTGCATTCCGAAGACCAAAAGGCATGCGCAGGAATTCAAACAGGCCAAAAGGAGTAATAATGGCTGTTTTCGCGATATCTTCTGCTGCCATAGGTATCTGGTTGTACGCTTTGACTAAGTCGATTTTCGAGAAAATGTTCATGCCGCATAAGGTTGCGGTCAAGTCGTAAACGTGGGGTATAGGGTAGCAGTCCGGAGTTGTTTTGGCGTTAAGCCTTCGGTAATCACCGGTCGGACGCCAGTCGTTGCTATCCTTTTTGGGCACCATGTGCAATGGCGATGCCCAAGGACTGTTCGACGGTCTGATAATGCCCAGTTCGAGCATATGGTCGAATTCATTTTTCGCCGTTTGCAGCTTATCGGGGGCTAAACGGCGAGCTTTGGATGCCACAGGTGGACCTGTGGTTGTGACGTGATGCATAACATTGCTGGTTATGCACGGAAGAGTGTGTTTCGGTTGTTGTAACTCTGGATATTTCTCCAGAACTGCCTGGTAGGACGCGTCGCCTGATTGTTTAGTCCTAACGATGGCTAAACTCGGACCTACATAGGTGGTGCCGCCAATAGATAACTTTGTGTTGTTATCTATCAGTCGTCGACGGCGAGCATCTACGAGTAGATCGTAATGGTTCAGCAAATCTATGCCAATGATGGGCATAGAGACGTCTGCCAGGAGGAAAATCCAGTGAATAGGTTTGCGTAAACCTAAGTTGAGGTAGGCATACCGTCTCCCGAATGTCGCGATTGCCTTGCCGTTGGCTGCTTGAAGATTGAAGGATGGGTCGAGATGACGCTCCTTTGTCGTTGCTGGAAGAACGCTAACTTCTGCGCCGGTGTCGACGAGGTAGCGGACTTTCGTTTTAATGTCGGTGACGTAGAGCAAACGGCTTTTTCCGCCGGCTACGGTTGCCGTGAGCACGTGCCGGCGTGACCGTTTCCCGAGTTCGGGTCCTTCTTAAAACGGCATGGTTTACGACATTTTCTGGCTTCATCCCCGTAAGTGTTATGAAACCAGCACCATTCAGGGTTTTCCACCCTGTTGGGTTTCGTTTTAGGGCTACCACGCGACTTGCTGCGATGCGCCAAGGTGCGTTTCTGTGAAGTGCTACGTGATCTAGGACTTCGAGATCGTAGCAACCGTTTCACAGAGTTGCACAACTTGGTCACCTCCGAATCCTGGCGCTCTGTTTTGTCGCAGATAGAATATACGTTGGAGACGGGTCTGCTGGATATCTCCAGTATTTTATCTGCTGAGGCTGCCAGGTCGTCGAGTGGGACTGACTGGAGTGTCACCAACACGGTTTGCACCGGTTGTGGTAGTTTCGAGAGAAATAGTTCTCGGAAGAAACCATCGTCAAATGTTCGTGCACCGATTACTTCTCGCATGCGTGCGAGGACTTCAGTAGCTGAGTGGCTGCCTAGCTCGATGTTACGAAGCAATTCGTCTAGACGTTGGCGATCTGTGAGATCGCTTTTCTTCAAGAGTGCGGCCTTTAGAAGTGCATAAGGGTCACTTACTTCAGGATTAAACATGTTTGCTGTAACAACCTGTTTAATTCTCGCGGTAGTGAACGTATGACAGCAAGAAATCGAGATGAGGATCTGAGACACCCTGTTCTCGAAAATCGGCCTCGGCATACAGAAACCATGTTTCTGCATTGTCTGGCCAATATGGCACGAGTTGGATCGTGTTCGAGGTCGGCTTAATACGAATAAGCTTGGGAGTGTGGTCGGACATGAGAAAGTGTAGTAAATGGATATATAAATGTTATCGAAATGAAAACAATAAACAAATATAAAATGGAACAGGCTCACCAATTCAATACTTGTTATTGGTCGGGATATGTGATCACGTCGGGCTCACCAATTTAGGATTTGTCCTGGTGCGAACTTGACAGACGCAAAGACCAATCACTAATTATTCGAACTTGTTATATACCCACGAATACGAGACCAAGGAAGAACACGATAGCGTAGTCGGATGGAATAGTATATTTGGATGGTTATGCCAAAATACCGATGCGTTCCAACTAACTGGCTAGAGAGTCGAATACGAGCAATGCAACGTAACACGACAGCGTGCCAAATGGCGAGGATGCTTGACCGGATGCCTTCAGCTTAGCGAGTCCAGTTAAACTATCAAGGTCAGCATCAATGTCGAAGTCGTCAAACCCTAGGCTATTGATTTTGGATAAGTGTATGACGTTACATAACCAACAATTAACATCCTGTTCTGTATACCAGAACTATGGCGTTGAGTGACTGGGTGTACTACATTGGAATCTGCCAGAGACCCGGAACCGTTCTGCAAGACCAAGAAGTGAGCAAGAAGAAATCGACTGGTGCACACAAGCTCGTTAAACAGATATTGGATATTGAGGGACAAGTATGAACTTTTGCAGCGGGTTTTTCAAACTCGCTTTCTCCGTAATTTGTTTGCGCTTGGTTACGAGTAAGTGAGAATTCTGACTCCAGATTACTAAAAAAGGCGTTAATGGTCTTGTCTCTCACAATGAATGTGTTGAAGGTAATTTCAACGTCTCCTTAGTGTTCCTGAAGTTATTTTTCTGAATATTCCGTAAATTAATGACGCGAGTATCAGTGTTTTTTGTTGGAGTACGTGAGTTAATGTACATAATTAAACTATTAATTTTACGGAAGACTTGTCATAGATACAACATTTTCAGACTTATTTTAGTCACGAACCCCATCAGCATTTTTGTCAGGCCAAATGAAGCAATGCTGGGCCACCCACTATAAAAATATCTGGCCAGCTGCAGGATCTGACTTGAAGTTTAGCATCATTTTCTCTATATCTGGCCCCGAAATTTTCCAGCCCTTCACTGGGCCGCATGTTGAGTGTGTTCGGTCCTACCTCTGAGTCTGAGCTTTCCAAATTATTATTATCATTTGTTCCTTAAGAAACACAATTGTTTTCATAGTGGAACATAGGGCTTCAGTAGCACGTCTCCATTGAACTCTCTCCTCTCTATTCTTCTCAACCTGACTCTACGAAAGCCCAAAAGCTTTCATTTTTTCCCTCACACCACCTCCTCTATGTCACCCTCAGACGCCCAACTCGTTGTTTCCTCTTTGGGTTCCACTGGAGAGCCTGGTCAGGTGCGTGATGTCTCCAATCGGTCTTCTCAGTGCATACCCAATTCATCCCCACTCTGTTCTGCATATTTGTTGGGTGATGGATCCTTGGTTTGTTCCTTTTTAGGCCAGAGTTCCTTCTTGCTTATTCTTATTATTCTGGCCATCTGATCTTCAGTATCAAGCGTAGACAGTTGTTGATGAATGTCCGTAGTTTTCCTGGCAATGATTTTCAACCATCACATAAAAGCGCCAACTTGACTGACATTAGGTTTACAAGTTCGAATTTTGTTCTCTATGCTGAATGCAGTAGATCTCCACACTGATTTCAGGTTAATGAAGGCCTGTTTTGCTGTCTTTCCGATCCTGGCTTTGATATCCTCATATGTGCCTGTGCCGCCTGTAGTTGAAACCATGCTGCCTGCCTAGATAGGTGAGAGAGACTACTTCCTTTAGGTTTCTCCCGTTATTGGTGATTGACGCTTGTTGTTGATGCTGTTGTTGGTTGGATATCTTCATCACATCTGTCTTCTCTATATTCACTTGAAGTCGCGTTTTTGCGGCCTCTCCTGTTAATTGATTGGTTTTCGCCTGTAGGTCTTCGAGTTTCTTCAACATTAGACACAAATCAGCATTGACGAAATCCAAATCTTCTAGGGTTTTTTCATCGGTCAAACAGAGTATGCCCCTCTTCTTGCTCCTCACAATCTGTTGCATAATCCAGTCGACCACAATCGAGATGATCATAGGTGATAGTCTTATCTTACTCCTGTCTTCACTTCAAAAGCATCACTCAGCTTTCCATTGTGAACCACTTGGCTTTTGGTGTCATCATATAGTTGTTGAATGAGGTTGATAAAGGTTTGAAGTACTCCGTAGTAATGAAGCAGTTTCCAAATTACTTCTCGATCGTCACTGTCAAAGGTTTTTTCAAAATCGATGAAGTTGAGGTAGAGAGTTAGCTGCCATTCTATACTCTGTTCTAAGATGATGCGCAGAGTGGCGTTGCAATTCGGTCCGCATATGAGTTGTTCTTCCTGAACCCAGCCTTTTCCGGTCGTAATTTTGAATGCAGAGCATTTTTTCGTCTCTCTAGGATGATATAGCATAATATTTCGCTTGATGTGGACAGAGCGAATGTTTCTGCGCCAGTTCTTGCAAAGGCTCAGGTCTCTCTTCTTTGGAAATTTGACAAGGTAGCTCTTCTTCCAATCGGCAGGTTCCTTTCTTCCCCTCCAACCTTCTGTAATAGTGGTGTGAGCACATCTGCCGTTGTCTCTGTGTCTGTTTTCAGTGATTCTGAATGAATTGCATCTGGTCCTACTGCCTTCCCGGATTTCAGCAACTTTATGGCGTTCAGGACTTCGACTTTTGTTAGAGGGCTTATGTTCACTGGTAATTCTATGGCTGGGCTGCTAGTGGTATTTCTAGACGAGTTGCAGGTGGTAGTGGTGGCTGATTCAAGAGTTTTCTGAAGTAGTCAGTCCATCACTTCCTTTGTTTCTCCTCTTTGGTAACTAGGTTTCCTTCACTATCTCTCATTAATTTCATCTGAGTTGCTCTCTTCCCTCCCTGGTTATTTGATATAATATTGTCAAATCTCTCCTACCAGCAGCCTGTTCTGCTTAACTTGCCAATTTGTCATAGAAGTGTCGTTTGTCTTTCTGTGTACTCTTCTTCACTTCTTTGTCTAGTGTTTTATACATCATACTCAGTTCTTCTTTTCGTTGTGCATCCTTGCACTAGTTCATCTTCTGCTTCACCATCTTTCTCTCCTTCCTCTTTCAGCTTCCACGTGTGTGTGTGCGTGTGTGTGTGTGTGTGTGTGTGTGTGTGTGTGTGTGTGTGTGTGTGTGTGTGTGTGTGTGTGCGGAGATCCATTCCTTGTCTTGCTTCTTCTTCTTTCTAATACAGTTATACAGGTTTCCTTCCACATCACTTTCACAGAGATCTAGTATTCTTCAACGCAGGCTTCCTCAGGGATGTTGCCTAATGTCTCCCATTTTCTCCTGATAACTGATGTGAAGATTTCCTTTGTCGTTTTGTCGTTCAGTTTGTTTTCTGGGTGTTGGACTCGAACTGTGGTCTATCACCGACTTCTTTGAAGGCTTTCAACTTGATTTGGAAGGTTCCTTGCACTAGATATTGAGTGCTGTGAACCTACATCTGCTCCCCTTCTTGATCTGATCTTGTGTCCAGTAGGCTGAGTTCCCACTTTCTTGAGATTGAGATGAAGTTGATTTGACTTTTAGTGTAGTGTATCCATCTGATGAAATAAAATCCATGTCGCTTTGTGGATGTCCTTGTGTTTGTACACAATGCCTTCAATCACCAAATCGTTGAATGCGCAGAAATCTGCAAACGATTCTCCCTTCTCATTCATTTCACCGAGTGCTTCTGGACGCATGATGAGTTCTCTTCTTGTGTTGACCACTCTCAGTTTGGAATTCATGTCGCCCATTAAAATTTTGATGTTACCAACTGGAGTCATGTCTAGTACTGATTGCATTTGTCTGTAGAATTCCTCCTTCGTCTCTTGGTCCGTATTTGCATTATTTGTAGGCGCGTAGCGTGGCATTGTATGATTGTGACTTTCCTTCCTTTTGATTTGAACTATTGTCATGATCCTTATCCTGAAAAAGATTGGTTCCCACTGTATGAGAGCTTCTGATGCTGTTGGAAACATCATGATGGCTACTCTCTGAGTATTTTCATGGTTTTCGTCTGGGTGACCGGAGTAGATTATTGACTCTCTAGTTGACAGTTTGAAAAGTCCACTTCCATTCCATCTGTTTTCGCAGATTCCTAGTACTTCTAAGCCATATCTTTTCATTTCCTTTGCAATCTGGGCAGCTTTTCCAACCAGCTTAGAACATTTTGCGGATATTTCATGTCCTTATGCTTACGTTTGCTTTCATCAAGCGAGAGAAGACACATTGGTCAATTGGCTTCCTAAAGGCTTTCAGCAACCGACGTTATTTCGTCGCCCTGATTCCAGCGAGGAATAAGTTTATTTCCATTTTTAATATTTCGTCTGCGCTTTGAAATTTCTTTAGTGATTGAATTAATTTTACGGGGTAGGGTTACTATCCTCTTGCCCAACCTTCCGTCTTTATCTGGACTTAGGACCGGCTAATAACTGGTAAGCTAGTTAATAAGGCGAGGTTAAGCTTTTCAAATGGCCCAGCATTTTCTACGATGGCCCGAAATCTGGTCAACGTTTTCGACGATGAACCTACTTATGGTCCGAGGTTTAGTATGGCTTCTATAACTCCGGCCTAATTTGTCGTATCATGAATCGCTTTTCTGGTCAAACATGTGGAGTAATAATGAATAATTTTTTCGGAGTGGGTGGTCACAAATTTGTTCATTCACTTTCGATATCCGAAGCACTTTCATTGTAACAGAGGATGTCCTACTTGTCACCAGCTTTCGTTGTTTCTGCCATACAGATTTGTCGTTTGAGGATAGAAGTCTATGAGTCTCTAATAATCCTTTCCCAGTCGATTTCTCTGCTTATCTAGTCCGCTTTTGAACGGCTCATTGGATTACACAGCCACCACTTATTCTGCGAGTCGGTTCCAGGAGTTGGTTACTTGACGCAAGAGCCATTACTCTGTGAAGATCGTGTCCATCCTTTGCTTTTGTATTCTCCAACTATGTCATTTAGGTGTCCCTGCCTAGTGGGAAGGAAAAGAAGATAGATCAGGTTCAAAGTCATTTTCTGAAATCCCGTATAGCACAATTAGATATCCTACCTGTCTGCGATAAGATAACAAGAAGAGGTTTAGCTTGTTAAGTCTGTCTTCGTAGGCCAGGCCAGCCGTTGCAAGGATCATACGAGTGGCTTTCCTCTGAACTCTTTCCAGAAGGTCTGCGTCACCTTTCAGACAAGGATTTGAGTCTGTGTAACGTTTTTTTAGTTCAGACCTAATTAAGAATATGTATCAAATGGTGGACATACCATTATTTATTGTGTAATGCTCAGTGACCTAAAACTCCGAGGCGCTATCAATCGACTGTGTGCCGTTATTTTACAAATCATTACTCACTGTTGCTCCTATGTCACTTTAGGTCAGTACTGACCGTAAAGGAGTCCCACCAATATCTCAGATGTTTCCATCTGTGTTCCTAATGTGCATGCTCACACGTTACCTGCGTTGATACGCATTCACCATTTTTTAGCCAGGTTAACGGGCTGTACAGATCTCTCTGAAGTGCACGTATATACTCGTCATCCCTAATTTTCTGCCAGATGTGTACATCATCAGCATAGATAACCATAGGGGATTTCGTGATACTAGACAGCTCATTTATGTATAGGAGAAATAGCAGGGGACCGGGAACTGTGCCTTGCTGCACTGCGCTCTCTTCTGACTACCGAGCGGATAGTTGATAAATTATTTCTACCCTTTGTCTCACACCAACAAG